ATTTATTTGCTGTTTACTTTTTCTTTCTTTTTTTGCATCAGCCTCTTTTTCAGATTTTTTTAAATTGTTATTGTTGCCATGTCATCCCTCGGTTCAAGCTAATAATAGTAGTTTAAAGCTGCTTTTTAGATACATTAATTTGAAGTCATATCCTGTAAATTCAGTTCAGTGTTTATTTGTAAATCCCTGATTAAAAGAGTTGATCAGTTATAGTGGTATTTCAGAGTAAGATGATATTACCATATTATTACTATTGTTGTTGTTATTATTATTTGTCTCTCCTAAGACTCCATACCCTGGTCTGTGGCCCTGAGGGACAGCTCTGTGGTCTGGTCTCTGATWGTGGACCTGAGTCTGCTGGCTCTCTTCACTGCACAGCACAGTGTCCTGGCCTGGTCCCCGGTCAAACAGGTGCTGCAGTCCATGTTTGGGGTCCTGAGCAGGACGGCGTACAGCTTCACTACTGTGCTCGCCCTGCAGGTACACCAAAAACAAACAAACAAAAAAAAAAAACACTCAAAATATCAAAAATGTGACGCAGCGATACAGTTTTTAGACTTTGTGCGTTACAGAGGTGAAACACCTGTATGCATGCATTATGTTTAAACCTGCATCATTTTATCTCCCTGTCAGATCTTGATGTGTTCCTGGCAGCCTGTGACCGGCGCCCCCTGTTTGTGGGCGGTGCGTCACGCGCCCTGGAGTATCTGGTTCCCTCTGCTCTGCTTTTCGCTGCACTTCCTCTGCTGGGCCRTCATCTGCAGCAGCCTCATGATCTTTGATTATCCCGAACTCGTGGGCATCAAGCAGGTGGGACACCCATTGCATAATTGTTTTAACTCGGCTTGTGATGATTTTACTTGAATCATTTCCTCTCCCAGGTGTACTACGACTGTCTCGGTTTAGGGGACCCTCTCTCTGACAAGCCGCCCCCCGCTCAGCGCCTCCTGTCCCACTTCCGCCACCCGGTRTACCTGGAGCTGGTGGTCATCCTGTGGCTCCTGCCGGCCCTGTCCCTGGACAGGCTCCTGCTGGCGGGGGTTCTGTCCACCTACGTGGCCGTGGCGCACAGCCTGGACCAGCAGGATTTAGCCTACCTCTGCACGCAGTTTAAACTCAAGGTGCAGCTCTTCGCCGAGCCTCAACGAGACGGCGAGACGGCCGATTGGGACGTCAACCACGAGGAGAAGTGAAGCTGTTGTTGCTGTTGGGAAATGTCTCAGGAACAGAGAGGTGTCAGAAAATAACATGAATTTTTGAAAAGATAAATATTGCTCAGTGTGTAGGATTTGTTGTTTTCAGCGACATCTAGTGGTTGAGTGGTTGAATCATCCTCCCTGGTCCTCCCCCCCCCCCCACCC